AACAACACAACACCAGCAACAACACAACACCAGGAACAACACAACACCAGCAACAACACAACACCAGCAACAACACAACACCAGCAATAACACAACACCAGGAACAACACAACACCAGGAACAACACAACACCAGCAATAACACAACACCAGGAACAACACAACACCAGGAACAACACAAGACCAGCAACAACACAACACCAGCAACAACACAAGACCAGCAACAACACAACACCAGCAACAACACAACACCAGCAACAACACAAGACCAGCAACAACACACGACCAGGAACAACACAAGACCAGGAACAACACAACACCAAGAACAACACAACACCAGCAACAACACAACACCAGGAACAACACAACACCAGCAACAACACAACCCCAGCAACAACACAACACCAGGAACAACACAACACCAGCAACAACACAACACCAGCAACAACACAAGACCAGCAACAACATAAGACCAGCAACAACACAAGACCAGCAACAACACAACACCAGCAACAACACAACACCAGGAACAACACAACACCAGGAACAACACAAGACCAGCAACAACACAAGACCAGCAACAACACAACACCAGCAACAACACAACACCAGCAACAACACAACACCAGCAACAACACAACACCAGCAACAACACAAGACCAGCAACAACACAACACCAGGAACAACATAAGACCAGCAACAACACAACACCAGCAACAACACAACACCAGCAACAACACAACACCAGCAACAACACAACACCAGCAACAACACAAGACCAGCAACAACACAAGACCAGCAACAACACAACACCAGCAACAACACAACACCAGGAACAACACAACACCAGCAACAACACAACACCAGCAACAACACAACACCAGCAATAACACAACACCAGGAACAACACAACACCAGGAACAACACAACACCAGCAATAACACAACACCAGGAACAACACAACACCAGGAACAACATAAGACCAGCAACAACACAAGACCAGCAACAACACAACACCAGCAACAACACAACACCAGCAACAACACAAGACCAGCAACAACACAACACCAGCAACAACACAACACCAGCAACAACACAACACCAGCAACAACACAAGACCAGCAACAACACAAGACCAGCAACAACACAAGACCAGGAACAACATAAGACCAGCAACAACACAAGACCAGCAACAACACAACACCAGCAACAACACAACACCAGCAACAACACAAGACCAGCAACAACACAACACCAGCAACAACACAACACCAGGAACAACACAACACCAGCAACAACACAAGACCAGGAACAACATAAGACCAGCAACAACACAAGACCAGGAACAACACAACACCAGGAACAACACAACACCAGCAACAACACAACACCAGCAACAACACAACACCAGCAACAACACAACACCAGCAACAACACAACACCAGCAACAACACAACACCAGCAACAACACAACACCAGCAACAACACAACACCAGGAACAACACAACACCAGGAACAACACAACACCAGGAACAACACAACACCAGGAACAACATAAGACCAGCAACAACACAACACCAGCAACAACACAACACCAGTAACAACACAACACCAGGAACAACACAACACCAGGAACAACACAAGACCAGGAACAACACAACACCAGCAACAACACAACACCAGGAACAACACAACACCAGGAACAACACAAGACCAGCAACAACACAAGACCAGCAACAACATAAGACCAGCAACAACACAACACCAGCAACAACACAACACCAGCAACAACACAACACCAGCAACAACACAAGACCAGCAACAACACAACACCAGCAACAACACAACACCAGCAACAACACAACACCAGCAACAACACAACACCAGGAACAACACAACACCAGGAACAACACAAGACCAGCAACAACACAACACCAGCAACAACACAACACCAGCAACAACACAAGACCAGCAACAACACAACACCAGCAACAACACAACACCAGGAACAACACAAGACCAGCAACAACACAACACCAGCAACAACACAACACCAGGAACAACACAACACCAGGAACAACATAAGACCAGCAACAACATAAGACCAGCAACAACACAAGACCAGCAACAACACAAGACCAGCAACAACACAACACCAGGAACAACACAACACCAGCAACAACACAAGACCAGCAACAACACAAGACCAGCAACAACACAAGACCAGCAACAACACAAGACCAGCAACAACACAAGACCAGCAACAACACAAGACCAGCAACAACACAAGACCAGCAACAACACAACACCAGGAACAACACAACACCAGGAACAACACAACACCAGCAACAACACAACACCAGCAACAACACAACACCAGGAACAACACAAGACCAGCAACAACACAAGACCAGCAACAACACAACACCAGGAACAACACAAGACCAGGAACAACACAAGACCAGCATCAACACAACACCAGCAACAACACAAGACCAGCAACAACACAACACCAGGAACAACACAACACCAGCAACAACACAACACCAGCAACAACACAACACCAGCAACAACACAAGACCAGCAACAACATAAGACCAGCAACAACACAAGACCAGCAACAACACAACACCAGGAACAACACAAGACCAGCAACAACACAAGACCAGCAACAACACAACACCAGGAACAACACAAGACCAGCAACAACACAAGACCAGCAACAACACAACACCAGGAACAACACAAGACCAGCAACAACACAACACCAGCAACAACACAAGACCAGCAACAACACAAGACCAGCAACAACACAACACCAGGAACAACACAAGACCAGCAACAACACAACACCAGCAACAACACAACACCAGCAACAACACAACACCAGCAACAACACAACACCAGGAACAACATAAGACCAGCAACAACACAAGACCAGCAACAACACAAGACCAGGAACAACACAAGACCAGCAACAACACAACACCAGCAACAACACAAGACCAGGAACAACACAAGACCAGGAACAACACAACACCAGCAACAACACAACACCAGCAACAACACAACACCAGCAACAACACAACACCAGCAACAACACAACACCAGGAACAACATAAGACCAGCAACAACACAAGACCAGCAACAACACAAGACCAGCAACAACACAAGACCAGGAACAACACAAGACCAGCAACAACACAACACCAGGAACAACACAACACCAGCAACAACACAACACCAGCAACAACACAACACCAGGAACAACACAACACCAGCAACAAGACAACACCAGGAACAACACAACACCAGCAACAAGACAACACCAGGAACAACACAAGACTAGCAACAACACAACACCAGCAACAACACAACACCAGGAACAACACAACACCAGCAACAACACAACACCAGCAACAACACAACACCAGGAACAACACAAGACCAGCAACAACACAAGACCAGCAACAATACTAGGACCTGGACGGGTCCTACTATAAGCTTGTCCAATTCTTCTGGCGTTTAAGTGCATGTAATTTGGAATCATTATAATAGACATAACTGCTATGACCAGAGTAATTTGGGTTACGAGGCTTGGACGATGGATCAGGTGATTCTAGTAACTGTTGGGTAGTACCTGTGAGCTCATTGTTGAGCTCTGCAAGTGAAGATGGTTCAAATGAACTTTACTAGTCTGCCACGTGAGCAACAAAGTTGTCTCGTTGATGGATGGGTACAGCCAGCCAGCACAGCCGTTGCCACAGCCAGTATAGCCACAGACAGCCAGTACAGCCACAGCCACAGCCAGCCAGCACAGCCGTTGCCACAGCCAGTATAGCCACAGCCACAGACAGCCAGTACAGCCACAGCCACAGCCAGCCAGCACAGCCGTTGCCACAGCCAGTACAGCCACAGCCACAGCCAGCCAGCACAGCCGTTGCCACAGCCAGTATAGCCACAGCCACAGACAGCCAGTACAGCCACAGCCACAGCCAGCCAGCACAGCCGTTGCCACAGCCAGTATAGCCACAGACAGCCAGTACAGCCACAGCCACAGCCAGCCAGCACAGCCGTTGCCACAGCCAGTATAGCCACAGCCACAGACAGCCAGTACAGCCACAGCCACAGCCAGCCAGCACAGCCGTTGCCACAGCCAGTATAGCCACAGACAGCCAGTACAGCCACAGCCACAGCCAGCCAGCACAGCCGTTGCCACAGCCAGTATAGCCACAGACAGCCAGTACAGCCACAGCCACAGCCAGCCAGCACAGCCGTTGCCACAGCCAGTATAGCCACAGCCACAGACAGCCAGTACAGTCACAGCCACAGACAGCCAGTACAGCCACAGCCACAGACAGCCAGTACAGCCACAGCCACAGACAGCCAGCACAGCCACAGACAGCCAGCACAGCCAGTACAGCCACAGCCACAGACAGCCAGAACAGCCACAGCCACAGCCAGCCAGCACAGCCACAGACAGCCAGCCACAGCCAGTACAACTACAGCCACAGACAGCCAGCACAGCCACAGACAGCCAGCACAGCCACAGACAGCCAGCACAGCCAGTACAGCCACAGCCACAGACAGCCAGCACAGCCAGTACAGCCACAGACAGCCAGTACAGCCACAGCCACAGCCAGCCAGCACAGCCACAGACAGCCAGCCACAGCCACAGCCAGCCAGCACAGCCACAGACAGCCAGCCACAGCCACAGCCAGCCATATCCGCCACTACTGACGAGACACAGACGGTGTGGGATACGTTGACACCCAGACATATAATATGGAAAATTGGCTTACTGACAATTACATCAAATATGTATATAAATATAGCATTTTCCCTTGTAAATTGATGTAAATACGATATTTATATTGTATATTATTCAATAAAGAAAAAGAAACTGAACGGTGGAATTGTGCAGATTCAGCAGACAACCTCAGTCGGTATGGATGATAAGGGGGCGGCGCCCCGGGGGGAGAACATGCAATTGCCAAAAAATCATCTCTGCAGCATTGGAGAGTCTGCAGCGTTGGGAGAGTCTGCAGCGTTGGGAGAGTCTGCAGCGTTGGAGAGTCTGCAGCGTTGGGAGAGTCTGGAGCGTTGGGAGAGTCTGCAGCGTTGGAGAGTCTGCAGCGTTGGAGAGTCTGCAGCGTTGGAGAGTCTGCAGCGTTGGGAGAGTCTGCAGCGTTGGGAGAGTCTGCAGCGTTGGAGAGTCTGCAGCGTTGGGAGAGTCTGGAGCGTTGGGAGAGTCTGCAGCGTTGGAGAGTCTGCAGCGTTGGGAGAGTCTGCAGCGTTGGAGAGTCTGCAGCGTTGGAGAGTCTGCAGCGTTGGAGAGTCTGCAGCGTTGGGAGAGTCCAGCGTTGGGAGAGTCTGCAGCGTTGGGAGAGTCTGCAGCGTTGGGAGAGTCTGCAGCGTTGGGAGAGTCTGCAGCGTTGGAGAGTCTGCAGCGGTGGGAGAGTCTGCAGCGTTGGGAGAGTCTGCAGCGTTGGGAGAGTCTGCAGCGTTGGGAGAGTCTGCAGCGTTGGGAGAGTCTGCAGCGTTGGAGAGTCTGGAGCGTTGGGAGAGTCTGCAGCGTTGGAGAGTCTGCAGCGTTGGAGAGTCTGGAGCGTTGGGAGAGTCTGCAGTGTTGGAGAGTCTGGAGCGTTGGGAGAGTCTGCAGTGTTGGAGAGTCTGCAGCGTTGGAGAGTCTGCAGCGTTGGAGAGTCTGCAGCGTTGGAGAGTCTGCAGCGTTGGAGAGTCTGCAGCGTTGGAGAGTCTGGAGCGTTGGAGAGTCTGCAGCGTTGGAGAGTCTGCAGCGTTGGAGAGTCTGCAGCGTTGGAGAGTCTGCAGTGTTGGAGAGTCTGGAGCGTTGGGAGAGTCTGCAGAGTTGGAGAGTCTGCAGCGTTGGAGAGTCTGCAGCGTTGGAGAGTCTGCAGCGTTGGAGAGTCTGCAGCGTTGGAGAGTCTGCAGCGTTGGAGAGTCTGCAGCGTTGGAGAGTCTGCAGCGTTGGAGAGTCTGCAGTGTTGGAGAGTCTGCAGCGTTGGAGAGTCTGCAGCGTTGGAGAGTCTGTAGCGTTGGAGAGTCTGCAGCGTTGGAGAGTCTGCAGCGTTGGAGAGTCTGCAACGTTGGAGAGTCTGCAGCGTTGAAGAGTCTGCAGCGTTGAAGAGTCTGCAGCGTTGGAGAGTCTGCAGCGTTGGAGAGTCTGCAACGTTGGAGAGTCTGCAGCGTTGGAGAGTCTGCAGCATTGGAGAGTCTGCAGCGTTGGAGAGTCTGCAGCATTGAAGAGTCTGCAGCGTTGAAGAGTCTGCAGCGTTGAAGAGTCTTCAACGTTGGAGAGTCTGCAGCGTTGGAGAGTCTGCAGCATTGAAGAGTCTGCAGCGTTGGAGAGTCTGCAGCGTTGGAGAGTCTGCAACGTTGGAGAGTCTGCAGCGTTGAAGAGTCTGCAGCGTTGAAGAGTCTGCAGCGTTGGGGAGTCTGCAGCGTTGGAGAGTCTGCAGCGTTGAAGAGTCTGCAGCGTTGGAGCGTCTGCAGCGTTGGAGAGTCTGCAGCGTTGGAGAGTCTGCAGCGTTGGAGAGTCTGCAGCGTTAGAGAGTCTGCAGCGTTAGAGAGTCTGCAGCGTTGGAGAGTCAGCAGCGTTGCAGAGTCTGCAGTGTTGGAGAGTCTGCAGCGTTGGAGAGTCTGCAGCGTTGGAGAGTCTGCAGCGTTGGAGAGTCTGCAGCGTTGGAGAGTCTGCAGCGTTGAAGGGTCTGCAGCGTTGGAGAGTCTGCAGCGTTGAAGAGTCTGCAGCGTTGAAGAGTCTGCAGGGTTGAAGAGTCTGCAGCGTTGAAGGGTCTGCAGCGTTGGAGAGTCTGCAGCGTTGGAGAGTCTGCAGTGTTGGAGAGTCTGCAGCGTTGGAGAGTCTGCAGCGTTGGAGAGTCTGCAGCGTTGGAGAGTCTGCAGCGTTGGAGAGTCTGCAGCGTTGGAGAGTCTGCAGCGTTGGAGAGTCTGCAGCGTTGGAGAGTCTGCAGTGTTGTTCACACCCAGGGAAGCCTTCTCCAAGAGGTCAGCCCAGATGACCTCCGGTTTATCTTGTATATTGATTAAAAATTCCTGGGTTAGTCTTAGTCAGCATAGTTTCAAGTATGTAATATTTCATGCAAGGAAATTAGACTCCAGATTCTTATGTGTAAACATCCCTGGATCTCCCCCTTTTGGCCAGGTCAGAGGTCAGTCACATGTAATTAATAACTCCTCTCTTGAAGAGTGTAGGGTGAATGTCAAACAAGCTTATTGAAATATTTCTTGAGTGTTTGTACACTTTTGGTGGGTAGCAACAGCAGATCTCCCCCTCCCCCCTGTGGGGGTTGTATATAGAGGGCCTGTAGGAAGATAGGAAATGCAGAGTGCGGTACACCGGGATCGAGAGCGGGTTTGTGAAGAACATCTCAGCCAGGGAGAGACAGAGGTCTTAAGGTAATGTGTGTGATCTCTGAAGTTTTGTTCCATGTCCAAATTTCTTAAATTTGCCAGTGTTAGAGTAGGATTTATAAGTGATGATTGACATAATTTTGGTCTCAATAAACTTTTGTTAAATTTCCCGTCTGTGTCAATTGTTGAATCCTCTTAGCCTTTTGGATATAGTGGCTGACAACCGTTTTCATAATTAATGACAGTCATAGAAAGTACTCTCCTAGTCAAGCAATGTTTCTTGCCTCGTTGCTTGATATAGTTTCAATGGTCAAAGGCAGATGGTGGCAGCGTATTTAATCCTGTGTAGCATTTCCTTATTGGCAGTGAACCTTTTAGTTCCGGTGTAACCATCATATGTCAGCTCACATTACCGTGTTTCATAACAGTGTTATCAAGTGCAACCGATGAGGAAGTGTTACTCAGGATAAGTAGTGTGTACATTATAGTGGTGTTCCATTATAGTGGTACATTTTAGGGTGGTGTTACAATAGAGCGGTGTTACAATGGTGGCAGCGGTGGGATTGTAACACCACCCTAAAATGTACCACTATAATGGAACACCACTATAATGTACACACTACTTATCCTGAGTAACACTTCCTCATCGGTTGCACTTGATAACACTGTTATGAAACACGGTAATGTGAGCTGACATATGATGGTTACACCGGAACTAAAAGGTACACTGCCAATAAGGAAATGCTAACACCAGGATTAAATACGCTGCCACCATCTGCCTTTGACCATTGAAACTATATCAAGCAACGAGGCAAGAAACATTGCTTGACTAGGAGAGTACTTTCTATGACTGTCATTAATTATGAAAACGGTTGTCAGCCACTATATCCAAAAGGCTAAGAGGATTCAACAATTGACACAGACGGGAAATTTAACAAAAGTTTATTGAGACCAAAATTATGTCAATCATCACTTATAAATCCTACTCTAACACTGGCAAATTTAAGAAATTTGGAAATGGAACAAAACTTCAGAGATCACACACATTACCTTAAGACCTCTGTCTCTCCCTGGCTGAGATGTTCTTCACAGACCCGCTCTCGATCCCGGTGTACCGCACTCTGCATTTCCTATCTTCCTACAGGCCCTCTATATACAACCCCCCACAGGGGGGAGGGGGAGATCTGCTGTTGCTACCCACCAAAAGTGTACAAACACTCAAGAAATATTTCAATAAGCTTGTTTGACATTCACCCTACACTCTTCAAGAGAGGAGTTATTAATTACATGTGACTGACCTCTGACCTGGCCAAAAGGGGGAGATCCAGGGATGTTTACACATAAGAATCTGGAGTCTAATTTCCTTGCATGAAATATTACATACTTGAAACTATGCTGACTAAGACTAACCCAGGAATTTTTAATCAATATACAAGATAAACCGGAGGTCATCTGGGCTGACCTCTTGGAGAAGGCTTCCCTGGGTGTGAACTCTAAGGGGGGGGGGAGGTCCTGGGTGTTACACAGCGTTGAAGAGTCTGCAGGGTTGAAGAGTCTGCAGCGTTGAAGGGTCTGCAGCGTTGGAGAGTCTGCAGCGTTGGAGAGTCTGCAGTGTTGGAGAGTCTGCAGCGTTGGAGAGTCTGCAGCGTTGGAGAGTCTGCAGCGTTGGAGAGTCTGCAGCGTTGGAGAGTCTGCAGCGTTGGAGAGTCTGCAGTGTTGGAGAGTCTGCAGCGTTGGAGAGTCTGCAGCGTTGGAGAGTCTGCAGCGTTGGAGAGTCTGCAGCGTTGGAGAGTCTGCAGCGTTGGAGAGTCTGCAGCGTTGGAGAGTCTGCAGCGTTGGAGAGTCTGCAGCGTTGGAGAGTCTGCAGCGTTGGAGAGTCTGCAGTGTTGGAGAGTCTGCAGCGTTGGAGAGTCTGCAGCGTTGGAGAGTCTTCAGCGTGAGAGGAGGATATCACCTTGACTACTACCTGAGACACTGGTCATCTTGGAGATACATTACGTGTGTGTGTGTGTGTGTGTGTGTGTGTGTGTGTGTGTGTGTGTGTGTGTGTGTGTGTGTGTGTGTGTGTGTGTGTGTGTGTGTGTGGAGGTAATAACTCCCACAGTGGGACAGTCTGGGAGAGACACCTCTTGTTGTGTGTGTTAAAATATAAACGTCTGAAATATGTCCGTGAAAGATTTACCAACTTTGTAGCAGGTGTTGGTCGTGGTCGTACCTCAGACGACCTTGTTAGTCCGGTGGTCGTACCACAGACGACCTTGCTAGTCAGGTGGTCGTACCATAGACGACCTTGTTAGTCAGGTGGTCGTACCACAGACGACCTTGTTAGTCCGGTGGTCGTACTACAGACGACCTTGTTAGTCAGGTGGTCGTACCATAGACGACCTTGTTAGTCAGGTGGTCGTACCACAGACGACCTTGCTAGTCAGGTGGTCGTACCACAGACGACCTTGTTAGTCAGGTGGTCGTACCACAGACGACCTTGTTAGTCAGGTGGTCGTACCACAGACGACCTTGCCATGCCTCAACATTCGTCCAAAACGAAAACAAATTAAATAAAAAATATGTTTACGTCTGCTGGAGGCAGTAATTTGTTCAGCGCGCAGAGTGTCATGTGTTGAGGTGGGTGGTGGTGGTGCAGGCTGGGGGAGTGGTGGTGGTGCAGGCTGGGGGAGTGGTGGTGGTGCAGGCTGGGGGAGTGGTGGTGGTGGTGGTGCAGGCTGGGGGAGTGGTGGTGGTGGTGGTGCAGGCTGGAGGAGTGGTGGTGGTGGTGGTGCAGGCTGGGTGAGTGGTGGTGGTGGTGGTGCAGGCTGGGGGAGTGGTGGTGGTGGTGGTGCAGGCTGGGGGAGTGGTGGTGGTGGTGGTGCAGGCTGGAGGAGTGGTGGTGGTGGTGGTGCAGGCTGGGGGAGTGGTGGTGGTGGTGGTGCAGGCTGGGGGAGTGGTGGTGGTGGTGGTGCAGGCTGGGGGAGTGGTGGTGGTGGTGGTGCAGGCTGGGGGAGTGGTGGTGGTGGTGGTGCAGGCTGGGGGAGTGGTGGTGGTGGTGGTGCAGGCTGGGGGAGTGGTGGTGGTGGTGGTGCAGGCTGGGGGAGTGGTGGTGGTGCAGGCTGGGGGAGTGGTGGTGGTGGTGGTGCAGGCTGGGGGAGTGGTGGTGGTGCAGGCTGGGGGAGTGGTGGTGGTGGTGGTGCAGGCTGGGGGAGTGGTGGTGGTGGTGGTGCAGGCTGGGGGAGTGGTGGTGGTGGTGGTGCAGGCTGGGGGAGTGGTGGTGGTGCAGGCTGGGGGAGTGGTGGTGGTGGTGGTGCAGGCTGGGGGAGTGGTGGTGGTGCAGGCTGGGGGAGTGGTGGTGGTGCAGGCTGGGGGAGTGGTGGTGGTGGTGGTGCAGGCTGGGGGAGTGGTGGTGGTGGTGGTGCAGGCTGGAGGAGTGGTGGTGGTGGTGGTGCAGGCTGGGGGAGTGGTGGTGGTGGTGGTGCAGGCTGGAGGAGTGGTGGTGGTGGTGGTGCAGGCTGGGTGAGTGGTGGTGGTGGTGGTGCAGGCTGGGGGAGTGGTGGTGGTGCAGGCTGGAGGAGTGGTGGTGGTGGTGGTGCAGGCTGGGTGAGTGGTGGTGGTGGTGGTGCAGGCTGGGGGAGTGGTGGTGGTGCAGGCTGGGGGAGTGGTGGTGGTGCAGGCTGGGGGAGTGGTGTTTTTTTTTTACCACAGATGTGGCCACACATTTACAATGCTAACCAGCATATATACATTTTCTTCTGTCCTCCATGGACAGGGTTAGAGAAGTGTTAAACATATAGTTCAAGGGTTTATTGAACACTCAACCACAGAAGGTGATTCGATGCTTTTAAAATGCTAAGCTAACCTACATACGTAAATACATAGTTACACAGATTTACGTATGCCCTACATAAAGGAGTTTGATGTGTTTTTTACATAGTGTCATTAATGTGCATTTACAAAGGTGAAATGTAATTCTGATCAACATCCATATATATTTTATACGCATACATATACATACACACACATATACGTTCCTATACATATATACACACAAATGCATTCGCATACATTTGTCTCTTTTACTCTGACAGGGTGAGATAGCTGATAGAGAAACTAGTGTGCAATTAAGCACTTAATCACTGAAGGTGATTAAGGTGGTGGTGGTGCAGGCTGGGGGTGGGGAGAGGCAGACACAACTCATACATGTATGAGAGTGGTCCCACTCATCTCACTTTGGAACAAACACCAGTTTAGTAGCTTTGGATCTTTCAGCGTGTGAAGTGATTCATATTATATTATTATTGGATTAAGTTTATGCCGTAACCCAGAGGTGACATGCATCGTTTTGTTAATAGAAGGAGTAGAGTTGCTGGTGTAAACACACACACACACACACACACACTTGAGGGAAATTGAGTGCCCAAATGAACCACACATATATTAGAAAGAACTATTTCAGTGTCAGAGTGGTTGACAAATGGAATGCATTAGGCAGTGATGTGGTGGAGGCTGACTCCATACACAGTTTCAAGTGTAGATATGATAGAGCCCAGTAGGCTCAGGAACCTGTACACCAGTTGATTGACGGTTGAGAGGCGGGACCAAAGAGCCAGAGCTCACCCCCCGCAAGCCCAACTAGGTGAGTACAACTATGTGAGTACACACACACGCGAGGGAGGACGGAGGCTACAGCTATGCTGCACAGTCCTCACAGTCCTCATATATATATATATATATATATATATATATATATATATATATATATATATATATATATATATATATATATATATATATATATATATATATATGTGTGTGTGTGTGTGTGTGTGCGCATACCTTGCTTATGTATTTGCGGGGCTTGAGCTATTTTTTGGGTGTGCGTCAGTGTGTGCGTCATCACGTGATCACCTGGACATGCTCACCGAGCTATGCTTGCGAGGCCGGCGCTACGGCTCTTGGGCCCCGCCTCTCGTCAACCGGTGTAATGATTCATCTGTGAACTACAACTAACATTTCCACTTCCTGATTCATTTCATTTCTTTACTAATGTGGGGGCTCACTGTCACACTCACCGCCATGTGGGGGCTCACTGTCACACTCACCGCCATGTGGGGGCTCACTGTCACACTCACCGCCATGTGGGGGCTCACTGTCACACTCACCGCCATGTGGGGGCTCACTGTCACACTCACCGCCATGTGGGGGCTCACTGTCACACTCACCGCCATGTGGGGGCTCACTGTCACACTCACCGCCATGTGGGGGCTCACCACACTGCCACAGAAAGGTAAGTAAGGAGGGACCAAAGAGACAAAGCTCAACCCCCGCAAGCACTACTAGGTGAGTACAGTAGTTTTATTACTCAGACTTCATTAACTCTGTGAATGTGAAATGTACAGCGCCGAGTCCGTAGAGTTTACCATGATTTTAACTACAAGAACCTCATACTCCCAATTATAAATGACCTAATTGATGCACAGAGTAAAGGGTCTCGAATCTCCTTTGTATGGATACCTTCACACATAAATATAACCCATCATAATGAGACAGACATTGCAGCCAAATTAGCGTGTAACAAGTTTGAAGTTGAATTAGATCTAGGTATCCCCATCTCTGCTGTCAAAACTGTATTGGTCCAAACATTCAGATCTGATAGGAAAGAACTTACTGACTCCCAACGACCTGAAAGTACTAGTATAAAAAGCTATGATTTGTTCAGATCTGAAACCTACATCTTTGGACAGCACAAAACGTCCACTAGACTGTGCGACACAGTGGTTGCAAGGATCAGGTTGGGTTACCGTTACCTGTGGCAGGTGCCTGCAGGTGACGGGTCTCCCAATCCTGAGCACTCCAGTTGCAAACTCTGTGAGCAGGAACTACGGCATGATCTCCCGCACTACATCACTTAATGCCCAGTTATTAGACCTTTCAGACCAGTTGGCATGAGGTACCTGGAGCTTTGCAATTACTTTATTCACTCTCGTATTCTTGAAGATATCCTCACAGTATACCCAAAATTTGCCAGTGCAGGCTATTAAACACATGGCTCTGTATGACTAACCATCCAGCGAGATGGGGACTTGTATTACCACTACTACCTTATTCAATCTTGTGGTGTTGATATCCTCAAAATGCATCCGGAGTCTGCCAGTGCAGACTGCTTATCACATGCCTCTGTATGACTAACCATCCTGTGTGATGGGGATTTTTTAGCATCACCTAGTTAGCTTTTTTGACACATTGTACTCCACTTCATATAGTCTAGGGCAGCTGCACTAATGCAGATGTACCTAATATGTTAATAAAAAAAAAAAAAAAGTAATCGCTAATTTAGATATTTATATACTAAACGGATGTTCAGCTGAGAGACTGGCAACCTTTTGGTCACACTGACGAGGCAAAGGGCACGTGTGAACAAGGAGAGGTGCAATATTACCTTTGCCAGGAGTTTTAGCCTTTGTTTTGCCTTTGTATTAGCAAGCAAGTTATTGAATCAACGACTGTTGTTACACGTGTGTTTCCCTGAAGCCATTTCTAAGCCCTGCTCCTCATACTTGTGGCCTAAGCCTTGTGATTCCTCCGGTGTCTTCAACTCCGGCACAGTTTATTAAGTCTCAAATTAAATAATTTGTAATGAGGACCTGATAGAAGGTCTTAGAGGGCTTCATTGTATTTAAGTAATTCTCTTGAGTAGGTGAGGAGCAGTCTGAGGACCCCATACACAGCCCGTTCTCTCATACGGGCAGTCCTCGCATATCTAAGCTCGTTAATCCAGCCGCCAAACCCCCTGTTTATGAATGAAAAGCAGTTTGCACATGTCTCAACACTGATGACGTCCAAAACCTTCTGGAACCAGTGCTTCGTTCACGTCCTCTGTTCGAACCACAGTTTTATAAATGCTTCACCCCACGTACTTCAAAT